GTTGCAAATTGCTCCTCGCGGAACTTCAACAATGTTGCAAGTCCAACAATGTTGCAAATCGCTTCTCTCGGGACTAAAACAATGTTGCGAGTTTAACAATGTTGCAAATTGCTTCTCTCGGGGGGCTACAACAATGTTGCAAGATCAACAATGTTGCAAATCGCTTCTTTTGGGACTTCCAAAATGTTGCAGGTTCAACATTGTTGCAACGCTCAGAAGTATAACAAAGTGGCAACTCAGAAGTTCGGCAAAATGTGACAAAATCCGAAAAATCGACTCGACTTTTGCAACATTGTTGTAGTTCTAAGATGAGCGATTAATACCTGAATAAAACCTGATGATTTATTACGATATGCGACTTCATTTATTCTCGAAGTAAATAAATTTATACATAAACAACAAGTAAGTTTAAAGGTGCAAGCATACTACTTACCTTACTACTTACCATACTACTTACCTTACCTTACAAGAATACCCTTGTGATGGGAACCGCAAAGTTAACTTGAAAGTGCTTAGTGAAAACTAATTGGGATGACGTGAAGAAATAGTAAAAAGATGATTGGGAAATGATGCGGAAATGATGACAAGTTAAAGGAGTGCATAAGACAAGTGACAGGAAATATAGGAACTAAAAGAGGTAAAGTATGAGTTGAAATTGTTGTTCCACCGTCGATGAAGCAGCCCCCCTATTATCGATCCCTTGAAGGTATCCTGTGGAACAACAAACCGTTACTATGACTACTGCCTGCTGCATACGAAGTCGGCGCCACGTTTGTCCACGTTCTTCTTGTGTTCCTCGTTTCTCGCAAGCATTAGGTATGCGTTGCTTTGGTCACGTCGTTGAGAACATCGAACGCGTCTACGCGATTGGAGAAATAATCGAATGAACCGATCGAGCGAAAGGACCCAGCGACGGAGTGCGGTGGACGTCTCTCGCAGAAACAACTTCAGCAGCACCCAAGAGTCTTCGTCGTCGTCTGACAGTAACGAGAACTTACCGTATACAAAAAGCACCAGCACACCTGTGAGAAGCAGGTGGACGGACAGTGGTGAAGCTATCAGCAGGTCAAGAAACAGGCAGAGTCCATCTGATACCGAGGATACCGAAGAAGAGTCCTCTGATGAGAAGGAATTGGAAAGCCCTCGGAGACACAATGAAGAAACACACGGTAGCCGAGAAAAGCATCAGGATGAAAGAGTTGCTCAAAAACAGAAGAGAAGACACGATCGTCGTGGAAGACGGAGACACGATAAACGCTTCGAAGACTCTGAAAACGAGGAGAAGAAAGAAACGAGTCCCCAGTCTTCTGGAAAGCGCTATGGGGATGGTGATGCCGACCATTCGAAAAGAAAAAGTCGGGACTTTCAAGGTAAAAGCTCGTCTAACGAAATAAATATAGGTAACATGGCAGATTATTAAATCACAGTAGCTCTAATTTACCCTCCTTTCTACCTAACAGAATTTATTGTGATAGATTGCACACATACTAAAAGTATAATAAATATTGTCACAAAGGAGAGAACGAGTTGCCAATCACGGAGATACTGAAGAGGAGCCAGGAGAACGCGCGCACAAAGTACGAGGACCAGCCACCCCTTCCAGAGTTGACTACGGATAAAATTTACGTACAGTACAGGGATGGTTTCAGCGCCATGAAAATTAGTCGATCGAGAGGTTCACGAGCAGGGAGGAAAACGGAAACGGATGACGGGAACGATATCGTTGAGAAACGAGATTCTCCGCCAATAAGGGTGGCCATTAAGTTTCAACAATGTTCAAAGAGCATCGGTCTCGTCTTTCAGGGCCTTTTGGGTGGCATGGCGCTTATGCACTTCATAATGGTATGTCTTTATTCCGTAACAGACGCTTTGATGTCTTTGAATCTTTTAATAAATCTCCCAGTGTCAAGGTTCTGTTTGTTATATAAATCATCAAAGGGAGCACTTTATACCTAACACAAAATCTATTGCAAGACTGAGTACCACTGGCACATTTTTAATTGCACAATCTAATAGAAATTCTTGGAAAATAAAAACATGGTGAAAATAAAGTAACCCCCTCGGTAGTACAAGGGTTATTGTTTCTTTCTAAATTATTTTTTAGCTAAACGTCCTTTTCGAGACTTCCATGGAATTCGTCATAGATCACTCGACAATTTGCGAGATCTACGCCAACATATTTTCCTTCTGTATTGCCCTGTGCATCGTCTGCACTCTTGACAAGTACGTCACAATATTTTTACAAATGTGTCTCGTTCTATTTACTTGTTCACTTTCTTCCAGGTTCGATTTGGCTCGATTCGACATGTATCACTTGCGCGAGATCTACTCCGACTACAAGAAAGCAGTGATCGCGGTTCCTTTATATCTGATCGTATTCTGCCTTCATCAGATTTCTTCGGGAACCGACAATCGACTCGCATCTGTGCACTATTACAACGCAAGCGACACCGTGTGGGAGAATGTAAAGCTCGACCAAAACATTTTCAATGAAAAAAGAAAACTATCAACGATACTACTTACGTTTCACTTTAGGTTACCCATACGCAAAATCTCGTGAACGATTTAACCAGCTGGCAGAAGATATCAATGTCAAAGGACATACTAGCTATCTTCGCCTGGCTGTTCGTTTCCCTCAGCACCAAGGATGACGCGTTCCTGATTCACCTACGATCCATGGAGAAGTACGCCAACGACGTCGAATCTTCTCAACGATAGACGCGACCTAGTTCATTCAAAGAGAACGTTACTTTTATTCGGATTAGTGACTGGCTCGTGTACGGTTTCAGTTTTTATTCGTAACAGAATAGGGTCTGATATGTACAATATTTATAAAGTTTTCCTAAACGCTAACAGATAATACACGTACATGTAATACCAATGAAGACAATAACATTAAGAATAAAATATAACATACGGCGCGATCGTACAATAGTAAAATATGGTCTTAGACTTCGTCTCGTGCCCGATGCAGAGTTGTGTCTACGATTGTAGGAGAGAATCGATGTTGTAAGCGTTCGGTCAGACGTTATCTCCAAACTAGGGATGAAAACAATGTTGCTATATTAATGCACACTGCCATAAAGGTACCTTACCGAGGAGTCAAAGCACTCGAAGGCACATGTGGTCGAACCCTGTCGAACTCTGGCACATGTGCCCTCGATAGCTCTTCGCTAGAAGAGTTCTTCTAGAAGAAGATTAGATCGATTCTTGCCCACAAACGCGGACTCAACACGCTTCGAAAGTTTTTGTTGTACGACTAAACGTCAGCACACGTTATAAATAATTGTGCGAAGGCTCTTGTATTAACCTGCGAAGCAACAGATAAATATATATTATATGTATATGTATATAAATACTGTACGTACATTTACAACGCTAACGCATTTCCGTACTCTCCTCGAATATACATAGTCGATCGTTTAAAATATCTCTGGACTTTAATAACGCTATTATTTTCATCAAGGCACTGTTTACAGTTCACGTACGAGGTCGACGACCGATTCGAGTCGATCTTTCGCTCGTGGGCAGCCGATACGCGTTCTGGAGGTAAACGATGCGCAAGATTAGCTCCGATCATGTCGAATAAATTAAGGGGGTGGGAGGAGAGAATGGGGAGAAGAACGCATCGCGATACAAGCAAATCCAAGAACGCGGATCGGACGTTCGTCGGCGAAGACCGATCGTTTCCCGTCGTTGCTCGACTGATCAGATCTCTCTTTTTCTCTCTCTCTCTCTCTCTCTCTCTCTCTCTCTCTCTCTCTCTCTCTGTCTCTTTGTTTTTCGTGAAAAAGCAGGACGATTTAGTGGTCCGTTCTATCGACAAATGGGTACTACTCGTCCCCGAGGAACGGCGGCGTGGTTCGATCGCGACCTGCGCTGGGACGTAAGTCGCGATTTTACTGGCTAACGGCTCTCTTGCTTCGTTTCAATGAGCCTCTAAGGGGGAATTCCTTGTCGGAATGGGACGCTTTTGTAACGACGCGATGAAGACGCATGTTTTCGTTTACCAGGCTACGTTCTTCAACGTACTGGATTGCGTCAGGCGTGTAAACACTCGACAATGGATTGCTTTTATAACAGTGCGCGTATCGTAGGGCCTGTCGGGCCATTTAGGGCTCTAGAACTATAGTATTGTTTACCACAATGTTGCAGACATTAAAATTTTGTAGTGTTTCGTGATCGTACACGAATAAAATCTCTTCAAATTAATCTCAGAGTGTCCGTGCCTCAATTTGGTCCTGCCAAAGATAATAAATTACTCCGACTTGCTACCCCCACGACTAAAACACATATTGGAAAAACATTACAAGCGTCGGATAATTTCATCTTAACAATTACACCTTGCTCCTCGTGCTAAAAAGCTTCAGAATCGTTTGCGCGAATTCGGCGACGGCAGTGTACAAAGAGAGCATGATTTGTGCCATGGTAACCTCGCTGACGATATAACGGACTGCTCCGTAAAGTTCGTTCGTCGCCAACGAGCATTTAATAATTTGGATGTCGATCAGAGTACCCGAAACAGGGTTGGGCAGTGATTACATTGCGATTACTTTCGAAGTAATCGCTTGAAACTGTTAGATCAGATTACACTTTAAATCCGCAATCGTAAATCAATAATTTGCTATCTTTCATAGCTGATCGAGGCCGATTAATCCTATTTCTTGCTGAGGAGAGACTCGAGGGGATCCACGCACTGTTGTTGAAATTTTATACAACTCGAATGCCCCTCGGTTCTCTTCTCGTTGTAGTACTCTAACCGTAATCACGAACTACGTTGCCCAACACTGCCCAGAAATCACGGAACACGTTGAAAAATGGCCAGCGGTCGTTGGAACGTTTTCCTCGGAAGTAGCGAGTACGGTTTTAAAGGTGCAACGACGTTCCGTCAGAGCCAATCGAAATTCGTCCAAGGAAAGGAGTCACTGGAGTCGAAAGAGCCTTCCCTTTTCTTCGGAATCCAGCCTCTAGGTTCCCGTCCAGTGGCCAAAGGAGACCAGGACGAGAGACGTCCTCTGTCATCCTCTTCTCTGTCCTCCTTCGGGCGCGTCGGCCAACCGAGGGAAACTAGACTCCGTCGTTGGCTGTTTCCCATCGATTCTCTGGGATTCCGGCGATCCGCGTTCCTCTTGTTGCCCCCTTTTCGCGAAACGCCACGGGGATAACGGAGATTCAGAGTCGACGGAGGAGGGGGCAGCAGCTCTTTGATGATTTCCGCCGTTGCGGTGGCTGAAACTCACGCACGATCTCCTTTTCCGCTCGCTTTTTTCCCGAGTCGCTTTGTGCGCGGTTTCAGCCCGCAGGGGGGACGAATCACGCAGTCTGGACTCTTTGTGGCGCGGAGGAAGAGCCAGGAACGCGGGACATCCTGAACGACGAACAACGAGAGAAAACGGCTCGTCTTTGGACGCCAACCGTTCCTCCGCGCCCATCCGCGCCGGCGATCAAACGGCTCCTGCGTCGTTCTGCATGTATCTGCACCACGAGCGGCCGTTGTTGTTGCTCTCGCGGACTTGAAGTAATCCTCAGTCGTCGAAGTCGTGTCTGAGCTTTATGTAGAGACACGAACCAAGGACGATCCCGAACAGCTCAAGCACGGACAGGCCCAGTCCGACCGCGCCCAGGATTATCAAGTGGTCCTTCGTCGTCTCCAGGAACTTGTAGATGCAGCCCTGGACAGACATTCAGGCTCGTTAGGGGTGGCTCTCGAGGCTAGGATCGTTCTTCGAGGTATACGAAAATCGTAAAAGTAGAAATAATGGATCTTACTCGGGGGAGAGAGGATGATAAAGATGGTTAAAGATCGTTCGTGGAAGCAGAATTGTTTGGGAAAATAAACAATGTTGAATTAACCCTTTGCACTCCGGAGGTGACTCTCAGTCACATTTCAAGCCACTTTGTCTACCGGGCTATTTAGAGACAGACTTTAATTCAAAAAAGAATTTCTTACGGTAGCATATGCCAATCTAGGCTGACAATAATTCCTACATACTGTTACTGGGTACATTGAAAGCCAAGTCTGTTTCCAAACACTGAACATTGTAAGTAGACAACCATCAACATAGTAAATAAATTCGAATAGCTAAATACTGCAATAAAAAAGCCTAAAAATAGGCTCCCGGTAAATAAAGTGTTAACGTAATGCAGAGTAACTCGAGAGGTGACTCTCACCACCGGGTTTCACGCAATAAATCAACCAGCAGTAATGTTTGTTCAGGTTTCATTCCTCTAGAACTCGATGTTTCATAAATAAAATAATTGTCAAAGGAGTAAAGGTGACCTGATTCTCAAATCTCAAATTAGTTTGCAATCACAAATCGGGCTACATCTATAAAGTCAATCTAAACTTAGCATTCGTTGCAATAAAATGCTTGCGAAAGCATCTCGAGTTGCTGGTAGATGCCACAAAAAAAGGCCTCGAGGGTTAAAGGGTTAAAGAATCCGGTAATTTTAATTATTTAAAAATTAATAAATCCTCAATATTTAAATATTTTATTGAATCAAATTCTTAAGAATTTTTTAAATATTTTTTAAATGGACAAATTATACGTATACGTGTAATTTATGAATAATACAATTAATTTTAAGAGTTCATGGTCCCAAAGTTGAAATTATTCGTGAAAGTAGGCTACAGAAGATTTTTGAAATATCAATCCTTTGTCGTCCTATGTCGAGTGAGACTCGATGCCACTGAAATCAGAAAATCTGAACTGCAAAGGGTTAAATTCGTGAAAGGACTTTATCACCTAACCCCAGACCTATGTTCGATATATTAATTTTCTATGGCCTAGTGATATCATCGATATTAATTTATCAACTGAAAGAGCTTACACTGTCGATGCAGAGGCTCGATTCCATGAACCGGAAGGAGATCTTCAATTAATAGAATCCATATCTCGAGTGCGCGGTTAATGGTGACTCGTATCTATACGCAGTATTTTTATGCGACGGGATCTAGAGGATTTCGATAACGAGCTTCTTTTCTCGAGCCTGATTCCACGAATTTATGGTCCCGTCGAGCGGTAAGGGCGTCGTTCTTCGCGGCGTTCGCGTAAAAAAAAAATGAAATTGAAACAAATAAGCGCGTGTTACAGACCGAGGCAGAAATCGAATAAACGCTCGTCGAGGAGGAGATCAAGTGAATCGAATGCGACGTATCGATCGTCGGCGAGACAAAGAAGTCTGGATGAAAAAGCGGACTCCTCCGAGTCGTTAAATACCGTGTAATGGATGTTCGATGGATGGTCCCTCCTTCCGCAAAGGGGCGTCGGGGTTTTGCAGCAGCTAGTGGGCACGAGGCTCCCTTCCTTCAGAACATCCTCGTCTTTGTGCCACTCACTCACCAGCCAGTCCTCGAATCTCAGGGCTCCGCAGCATTTGAACTGGAAATTTCAACAATTAGATCCCTCCGCTTTCCATTGGTTCCGTTACTTAGAAATCTAGGCTCGGGACTAACAATCCTCCTTAGCTAAAAATGTTTACTTCGACAATCCTTCCAATTCAATTTTTCAAAGTTGCTCGAAATATTTAAAGCTTGTGCCCCTCCCCTTTTAAAATTAGAGTGTCCAAAGTGCTTTATAGTTCAGTGGTTTGTAATGCTCTGTGTAACAAGGCTTAGGAGAGATGTCTTTGTTGTTTACACTTTAAGGCATCGCCGATCAGCAGTTTTCCTCGAAAGAGGAGATGAATCGATGAATGGAGTCGCAGAGGCATTAATCGATTTACAGAAAGACGAGCCGACCCCTTTCGCAACGCGATAAAGATGATTTGCCGTCGTAAAGCACTCGTAGCGGTGGCATCGTCGGTGGAAGGTGTAAAAAAGAATGCTCAGACGATATCGCGGCCATGTAAGGCTGCCCGCAGCTATTTCGTGCGAAGCGAAATTTAACGACGTCCTCCGTCCGCGTTGGAAAATACCGAGGGAAATAAAATAGCGAAAGAAATAAGCACGCGCCGCGAACAGATCTATTATACCACCCTAGACATTCAGGAGATACTCTTACCTACTTCAATTCCACAAATGATGGAGCCTTCTTCGCGTTTAATTTATTTACATTTCAACCATCATCTATCGTTTTATATGACCAAAATTTTAATTCTTTCATTGCAAAGGTGGCACAAACTTTTATATTTTATTTCAACAGCATCCGACTCGTAAAATTTCAATCCATTCATTGCAAAGGTCCCACAAGCCCCAGTTTACAGGAAATTCTTCAGGATCGATTAAGCAAAGAGTGAATCGATCCTGCATAAGCAACTAGCGGTAAAGTAGCCTTCGTTTGACTGAAGTTAAAAATGTACGAGGGTTGTAAACAACAAAACAGAAGCGGAACCCGGCGCTCTTTATGGCTAACTGCCCTCTTCAATTATTCCCGTGCCGGCGATCCTTCTTCCGGTCGCTTCGCGGGCACGTATCGCCTGGCTGTACTCACCTCTATCTGCATCTGGTCGATCGCGGCAGTTTCCCTGCTCCTCACGGAGTAGTTCTCGAGGAAGGTACGATTAAGAGTCATCTTGAATTCAGGGCCGACTTGCTCCTCATAGAGTCGCGCCAGCGCGCCCACTCCTGCCTCCAGCACGAACACCAGCATCACGACGAACACGTACTGCGCAAGAAAATGAAAACAGAATCAATGGTAACTGGAAAATGAATCGTGACAAGCCTCCCACCCATCCGTCTTCGTCTCAGCAGTCGAGAAACACTCTCCTCGCCCAAGAGTGGGTGTGGTTGAATGAAATTTTATTTAAATGTAACATGAGTCGAATAAAAGTGTATTCGAATGAGAAATTTACTTGAACAGAAGTTCATTCGAGTAGAAATTGATTCGGATGGAAACTTGTTCGAATAAAAATGCATTCAAATGGAAATGTACTGAAATCGAAATGTATCGTAACGAAAACATACTCGAATAAAAATAAATTCGAACGGAATTCGAATGGAATTCTATTCGTCTAATCGTCCAATTAAAGTTGTGTTTGAAGGGAAATATAGCACCTATTAAATATTAATTGTTCCTCTTTTTTTTGCATTTAAATATCCTTTTGAGCGCGCTCACCATTGTTCGCGAAGAATTTGCGCGCAGCGAAGCAATCGGATTCTCAATAATTCTGGCGTTGCCTCGTCGAAAGCATAATTTCCCCGAACAATCGATTAATGACGTGCTCGTTACTCGCAAAATCGACGACTAGTCGAGCCATCGACGAAAACAAGTTCGACAACCTGTTTCCTTTTCATCCTGGCTTCCGTGATAAATTATGCGCTGCTTGTCGACCGCAACACGCCCGACCGACGAAAATCGAGTTTCCCTAATTCTCGGGCAAACAAGTGCTACCCCGTGTAATTTTCCGCGGTCGTTGGCGCGTAGTTTCGTTGCAGTGCCTCGTTGCGACGGCTACCTGCTGTTCTTTAAACTGGGTAAGCTTGGGAAAGTGCACTTAATTCGCATTCTCTTCGAGGCAACAGGTTTTAAAAATTTGTTGGTACTTTCGGAGGTTTGGAATGATATTTAAAATAATACTCGTGGGATCTTTGTCAAAAAGGGGGTTCAAGGTAAAAATTCATCGAGACAAAAGTTACCTAAACATCTTCGATAATAAGCTGTACTAAATTATGCTATTATTTAGACCTACATCGAATTATGTTTTCTTTAACGCACGCCATTCTATTTTTCTCCAAATATCATGGGTCTCCTCTTCAAACATTTGCTTTCAAGATCAATGTTCTTTAATATAAAACACCCCTAGACATCAAAAGAATCTCCACAAAAGTTTCAATCGAAATTAATAACAGATAAAGCCTGCAAAGTTCAAACATAAGCACTTTGCATATACAAAGGAACATTTTCACGCTACCTCTGACAAAATGTTTTGAACGCCACAGAATTTTCAACGAGCTCCATATTTTTAATCATTCTGGGATACGTGGAGTACCTCTAATTTGGTTTTTGCGACAGGAAAAATCTCTATCCACGAGCAAAGAGCAACGGAATATATAATCGGAAAGTGCTTCGACGGAGGATCCACGCGCGTTGAACCCGCGAAATGCCGCGCGAGGCGTTTTAGAATTTTCATGAATATAAATCCCGAACGCGTCGACAACCTTCCTGCATGAATATTCAAACCGTGGAGCGGCCGCCGATCGTTCGGACGAAAACTTCCCAGCAGATTCTTACGCGGAGGAGGAGGCCTGCAAGCGTGATTAAAGCTTTGAAATACATTTAGAGGGGCTTTAAGGCGGGGAAGGGGGAAATTTCTGATCCGGATGAAACTTTCACGCGAGGATTAAAAGGTCGTCGAAGGACCACGAGGTCATCTTTGATGGTAATTGGGAAATGTAGAGATGAAGAAGAGAATTGACAGGAAAAAAGAATTTAAAGAAAAAAAAAAGAGAACATTTTGTAAATGATAAATGGCTGTAAAATAAATGTATAAGAAATAGAGAGATTAGGATTGAGATTGGATACTCGAACTTTAAAGGGATGATACGTTTGGATACGTTGAGAGGTGTAGGTTAGTTTATCGAAAAGGAAACACGAGTACTTTAGCAAGTACAAAAATATCTCTTGTACCCCTTTCCTGCAGAATGATATCACACATCCTACTAATCACTAATAATCCCCCAAGCATTCAATCTACGTAAAACCTCCCTCAATTCTGTTAGGGAGGTTGAATTATATCTAGAGCTCAACGATAGATCAAAGGGAAACTCATTTAAAGCTAGTAATTATTGGTTAGTAAGATTCAAAGCACGTCATGGTATTCGACACCTCTAAAAAGATATGGGACCCTTAGAAGCTTAATTTTCTCTACTTGAATAAATGATGTTTAATGCAAAAGAAAGTAATTGTTCTATTATCCGAAAATTCCCCAATCCGGCCACTTTTGTCTCCCTATTAGCTCGGATATAGGAGTGTCTATTGTAATTAAATCCTTGCTCTCCCGAATAATCTCTGTTAATTCTATCCTTGAAGAATGACGAAATCGCGTGAGTTTTAATTTGCAGCGAGAGCACGCAGACGAATCGAAGGACGTTGTGAACAGGGGCCAGGAAAAACAATTTTCCGGAAAACTCGATTCGAGGGATGTTAGGTCAATTGCCAGGGAAATTACGAGGCGACGCGGACGCGCACGTGCGCCAATTCAAACTGAGCGCACACGCGCGTGATATGTAACATTACACTAGCCGCAGCATCCGACAGGACGAGCAATTGACAGTTTAGAATTGGTCGGGAGCCGCTGTCAGCGAATGGGCGGTCGATCATGAACACTGACTGCGGTCGCCGCAATCACAGCCTATATCCGTGGCCAATGCAAATAAATCGATCCATCCGGATTCCGCGGGATCCACAGTCGGTGGCGACATTTACAAAGGGTCCTCGAATGAAACGGAACTGTATTCAGCATTCATTTAGCACGTTCATCGAACTATCTTTGAAGTATAAGGGATTATGTCCAAAGCCTCATTTCTTAATCAAAAGTTAGTCATTTTACACGTGTTATAATATAAAGTTACAGTGTAATGATTTAGGAGAGTGTGATTACATCTTTCTTTAACACTTCAAGGCATGTTTCACATATTAATTTGAATACCGCGACAATAAATGGCACGAACTTGTAGAATGACCTAATGTTAGGTTACAATTAGACCTCGAAATTTATCCATTCATGATGTATAATAATACAGTAATAATGGGAAATACACAAAATATATATACATAATGTATGTTAAATATATTTTACAGTAAATACAATAATATTGTTATATCTGCACGTACCTTTTGGATATGTTTAGCCGTATTTATAATATTAACTTGCATCATAAATCCATAAAATCCGCAGTTTAGTTATAATACTGTAATGTATCATTGTTTTATTTAAATTAATATGCGAAACGTGCCTTTAAACGTTAGGAAAAAATGTAGTCACCCACTCCCAGGTCGTTACAAAATTTCTGTAGCGTTTTAAATAAATATAAACACAATTTTGCTTCACGAATATATGGGCTGACCTGATATACACTTAAAACGCGTTGCGTAATTTTTTTTCTGATAAAGACATCTCCGCGTAACGTTGTTCTTATACAACCTAGCGATCGCAATGCTAATCGGTCGCGAAAAGAAAACCGGAGAGACTCGAGGCACCTTAAGCGTCCACCTGGTTGTTTTTCAAGGCCTGTAGATACAGATCTGGCTGGAAATCCTAACGTTAATAGCGCTTAATCGGCAGAAATCTCCCAAGAACGAGGACGTGATTATAACGTCGTTACTTGGCGTCTTCATCGTCGAGCTGGTTCGTTATGGAGAGAACCAACGAAGGAAACGGACTGTTCGTCGTTCAGAGAGGCAAGGTCGAGCCGAAGAAAATTAAGGATCGATTTCCTCGCGGGACTATCGGAACGATCGAAACGATTTTCTTACCCGAAGCTTCCGTTTCCTTTCTACTTTCACCGCGAATGGCCGAGGAGGGCGAACGATCACCTTAAAAATTCGCGGCGTGTTCATTATACAGATTTACCTACCCGCCACCGCGGAGAAAAATTTTAATTGACCACCGTCGTATATGGTCTCGGCTAATGAGACGATTCGCTCGTGCTATCGTGCGCAGGTGGTGAAAGGGAGCACAAGACCTATGAGAAAGGACAGGCAAAAGGTTGCCCGAAAGAAGCCAAGTACCTTTTACGGACAAGATCGCCGATAGTATTGCCACAGGCCAATCGATGGCGGAATTCTCGATTCGATTCTCTTAGGCAAACTTGCGGAGCTGTGTTTACGAAACTCTGGTCCGTGGAAATCGTTGTTGGTGGATGAAAATGTAAAGTAACATAGGTTGTAGTTCTGCAAAGGTGTTGCTAGTGTTTCAGAAAAATCTGTTATGGTTATAACAAGAGTTGCAATAAGAAGAATCAATCGTGAGGGTTCAAAATTTCTTATTATTGCAATTTATAATATTATTCTGTCGCACCTTTGTAATTCTCGATATTATCGTAGCAGCTTTTGTGAAGAGCTGGGAATATCTTTGTAGGCGTAGTTCTTTGCTATTTTCACACGTGAAAATGACAATTTACAGAGGTAGATACGACAGAGGCCACATGCTATGCTAAATTCGGGAGAGTTGACTTCTGCTGGCTTTGCAAATTGGTGCGTTGGAGTTTCTATGACATCAATACAAGTTTCATCGTTAACTACCCTCTTGAAAATTGTATTCAATGCAACTTATTAATAACGAGCTTAGCTTCTTAGCTTCTATGACAACCTCTACATTAATCCTTGCGTCGTCTCAAATTTAAACTTCGCATTAAAGCTCCCACCCCCAATCGAGGAACCGATTTCCATACGATACCTTCCTCCGACTCCAATGTATCAATCGTGGACCGAACCGAGGGGAAAATGAGCAGAAAAAATCACATGGCGACCGCGGTCAAAGGTTAAAGTGGATCGAAGCGCCCCTGGGAAACGCCGAAGCGAACGGAAATCGCGATCCTACGGGATCAACAATCCGATTTCAGTTCGTGCGACGGACATCGTACTTTTTGCTTGTCTCGCGATTCTGCAATATCGAGAACCGTGGAAACAAAACGAAAAATCCTCGGATAATCGTCCGACGAGGA